GGGGGGGTATTTTTTTCGTTTTGTTTTGTTTTGATTAGTTTTCTGCTTTGTTTGTGTTTCATTTTTGCTCATGGTTCAACAAAAATTGTAACTATGACGACTTATCCCTCTTTACCCCTAACTGCCGTCTATATGTCGATACGGAATAAAAGACAATAGTTTCACCTATGGAGAGTCCTACCTGTTTATGCTCGTAGCTTTTGTGTTCGGCACGCTCTTTTGTCTTTTTGCAGGTCTCCTAATTTATTTTTTTTTGCAGCAAAGACAGAGATAAAGTTTTAGTATTTTTTAAAGGAAAGAGTTGAACACATAGGCCTATAGCTATTAAGGCGTATACAGAAGTCATTGAAAACTGGCGTCACAAACAACAGTCGGGTCTCGATAAATATGACACACGTATCCTTTTCTACTTTGACTAACCTTCAAGGAGTAATCAATGATTCCCTTTCCCCTCACTCTTCTCTCCCCCAACCCCCTTTCCCCCAAGGACTAACCACAAGACACACCTACCCATGTACCTACAACCCCCCCCCCTCAAACCATTCCACGAGCTCCCATCTTTCTACCATCACATAACTTCCGTGTAGCAAAACGCCCCCTGAGAAGATAATGAACTCAGGTTTTTGCGCTAAGATACTTTCAGCAAAATCATGTTTACGAAGATACGAAGACAGGCTCCTAAAGTTATAGGATTTTTAAAGGAAAAAGTTGAACACATAAGCCTTTAGCTTATAAGGAGGCCTAGATCTATACAGAAGTCATTGAAAACTGGCGTCACAAACAACAGTCGGGTCTCGATAAAGATGACACAGGTTTCCTTTTCTACTTTGACTACCGTTAAATTAGTACACATGACGTAATAAATTCTACTGGATTTAATCCCTGCCGCTTTCCCAATCTTCGCTTACCTAGGTACAAACAACTATCCACCATCCCAACCCCAACCACGCACACTTTTTCTCCACAGACCCTCGAAAAATAGGAGAAAGGCCTCAATAAAACTTCCGAATCTTTCCTCTTCTTGTGAGCTTAACCAGACCATTTTCTCAAAGTTGAAGGAACGAAGACAAACACTGAAACCTCTGGAAACAGTACTATAAATAAAATCGAAACGTGTGCGACTGGCCAAGAGAAAGGGGCAGCTACTCGCTGTATTTCTTTTGAATTTATTACAGCAGTTGCTTCCCGTTAACGATTTCGCCTTATCGCCCATCTTTCAATTACAGCTAACTTCGGTGAAGCTGAACGGCCCGTGAGCGAGTTAATGAACTCAGATTTTGCGCTTGAATGTTGTCAGCCAAACGTACATTCACTAAGGCAGGAAGTTACAAAGACAAAAATAATGATACCCCCCCCCCCCCACCCAAGAAAACATCAACGCACACAATGAACCAACAAACGAACATTATTATTGTACAATACCACTGTAATGCATTGCGATTATAGAGATTTAACTGAAGCAACAACAACAAAATTCACATAAAAAAGAAAAGTAAAAGATAAATAAAAGTAATATCAGGAGGCGGTAAAAGGGATATAACAGGGCACGTACACACCTGCTTTAGCATTAATTTAACTCAGCATGCATTAGGTCAGGAAAAAGACTTTAATTCCTTCTAATGCTGATATTCCCAGCGCCACCTCTCCCTCCTTAACCTTCCTCCCCGCTTTACGACCAATCAAGGATACCCCTCCCTCCTCGATCCCCTTCCCCCTCCCAGGACTATCATTCCAGTCACCCCCATTCCCTCTCCCACTCAGAGTTCTACCGCTCAAAACCGGTACCCCTCAAGGACTACTCAATGATTCTCTTTCCCCTCACTCCCCAGGCCCCTCCCCTAACCCTTTTCCCCCAAGGACTAACCGCAAGGACCCACCTATCCATGTGCCTACAATACCCCCCCCCCCCAAACCATTTCACGAGCTCCCATCTTTCAACCATCACATAATTACCTCTGTGTAGCAAAACGCCCCCCTGAGAAGATGAATGAACTCGGTTTTTGCGCTAAGATACTTTGAAAAAATTCATGTTCACGAAGACGGGCTGCTAAAGAGACAAATGAATGACAGGAAAACAGGCAATGCCCAAACCTCTCATATTGTGCGTGATACCTTTTTTCCCAGTCCCAGTGCACACAAAAACTAATCTTCTACTAAAACCCAATCATGGAAATAACTGTTATACTTAATTGTACACTATTGTAAAAAAAAAAAAATAATAATAAAAAGACCACCTTCCTACTCTAGAATCGAAATCACATTAACTTATTTTCTTTTTTTGTTTGTTACCACATTCAAAAGCCGACCCTATACCACAGACATCGGTGTCCCTTGTGCTAAGTTGTGTATATAAAATGAAGATTATGAACCACGGGGGAGATCGGTTGCTCCTGTCCTGTCCTATATTTTCATATTATACGTATATTTTTTTAAATATTTAATTTTCTTGACATTTATTGGTGAGACAAGCATTTCAAAACAGTTTATTTGCTCTGCATTGTTGTTAGCCTACTAAATTCCTCTCTCAGGATACCCATGCATCAACAGGAGCAAATGATATTCATAAGGCTTCGAAACTTCCCTGTCTCATAGAATCTTCGTCGTAACTCTCCCTC